AAAAAAAAAAAAAAAAAAAGTTTATCCTCAAGATTAGAATATAGGCTAGACACAGTAGCTTACTCCATTAATCTTAGCACTCTGGGAGGCCAAGGAGGATGGCTTAAAGTCAGGAGTTCAAGACCAGTCTGAGCAAAAGGGAGACCCTATTTCTATAAAAAATAGAAAAATTTGTTATGCATGGTGGCATGCTATAGTCCCACCAACCAGGAGGCTAAGACAGGAAGATCCCTCAAGCCCAGGTGTTTGAGGTTGCAGTGAGTTATGATGACACCACTACACCCTGGCCAGGGCTACAGAGTGGGACTCTTGTCTTAAAAAACAAAAACAAACAAAAAATAATAATAAAGAATATAGTTAGAAGAAATATGTTGATTATAGCATAATTTGACTATGTGTAGAAAAAATATTATACTGTTAAAAAGTGAATGAAGGGTGGATTGCCTGAACTCACAGGTTTGAGACCAGCCTGAGCAAGTGCGAGACCCTGTCTCTAAAAATTAGCTGGGCATTGTAGCAGGTGCCTGTAGTCCCAGCTACTCAGGCAGCTGAGGCAAGAGGATTGCTTGAGCCCCGGAGTTTGAGGTTGCTGTGAGCTATGACGCTACGGCACTCTACCAAGGGCAATAAAGTTAGACTCTGTCTCAAAAAAAAAAAATTAAAAAGCAAATGAAGGTAAGCTGGTTTCAACTGAACCTCTGCGCCCAAACTTTGATTTTCTTTCTTCTTGTTTTAATTAGCTATTGAAATGTATCTAATTTGCTAACTGAAAGTATTGTCATTATCCATAGACTTTTATTTCATATAGTTCCATTTCTTGTTATCTTTATGTTTCGTTTCATTCTGTGCAATCTTTTGACTATTACCACAGTACTTTCTTTTATTCAGATGGGCCAGTTTTACTATTCAGCCAAAGCTTTTGATGTCCTAGAGAGGCTGGATCCCAACCCTGAATATTGGGAAGGCAAAAGGGGTGCCTGTGTGGGCATTTTCCAGATGATCTTGGCTGGGAGAGAGCCCAAGTAAGTAAACAGACAAGAAATACTGCCTCTTTTCATTTGCTACTGGTTTGTGGGGGAAAATAATTATTTTCTTGGATGGTATCTTCCAAAAACTCAAAATTGTAATGTTTTGGAATGATGAAAAAATGTTAAGATATTGACTATTTCTATCTGACCATTTTCATCCAGAAACATTTTATTTTATGTAATCAGGTCATTCTAAATCGTATATAACTGGGGATATTGGATACACTAACTGCTCTCAAATGTAAGAGCAAGGTATACATTTGGTTCCAAATGAATAACCATTTTCATAAACAAAGTCTTTTTCACTTTTTTTTCTTTTTTTTTTTTTTGCCTCTTGGCTTTTTCTTGTATCATTTATTTTAGGCCTCCAAAGGATTAGGAATGGAATACATGTGGTTGATAATTCTCTGTTTTTCTTTTGCTTTCTCATATTCCAGCCAATATGGATTCATTGGGTTACATAAAACTAAGTAGTTTATATTTCCATTTGGAACAAAAATTAAAACACACTAACTTCAGTTTTCTAAAAACAACTTCATGGAATTTGTTACTGATGTATGAATAGGAAATATGGTAATTTTGCAATAATTACCAAAAATTATGTCCTGCCTCATATCTACTTTTAGTCTTAAGAAAAGTTTAAAAGCATTTTTATGGGGAAAAAAGAAGTGGAAAATATAAGAAGACTCTTAGGGAAATGGGTTCACGGATATAGTCACCTATATGTTTGCTAAACCAATAGGGAAATTTTAGTGTACATTACTTAAATATAAGGGATTTTTATTACAAGGCAGGCTCAGCACCTGTAGCTCAGCAGCTAAAGCACCAGCCACATACACTGGAGCTGGCGGGTTCAATCTCAGCCTGGTTCTGCCAAACAACGACATCTACACCAAAAAAAAAAAAAAAAAAAA